ACGCCCACCCCATCCACACTCTTTCTCCCACACGCTCCGCCCCTCCTCTCACCTGCATTGTCTACTAGTACTGGCGTTTTGCCGTTTTCCTGGGTTTCTCGGTTTGGACACACGGGGTACTAAAAGTGTTAGACAGCTACATGCATTGTCCGTTTCCATCTTCTTTCGGTTGCATTATCGGGCGAACGTTACACTTTCTTTCTTTCCACCTTCTCATAACAAGACATGTATCATTCTTGTCTTGGCTATGCTATCTTCATCTTTTTCCCACCATTGCATACATCAGCGGGTTTCATTCTTGTTTTATCATATCTTTTTCTTCTTTTTTTCTTCGCCCATTCCTCCCAATTATTGTGGGATATGATTTTCTTCAACTTTTCGGTCCTGGTTGACCGCATTTTCTATTCTACTTTCGTCTGACTCCTGTCTGTCTGTCTGTTGTTCGTGTTTTCACTTATTATTATTATATTTAGCCCTTGATTTGTATGTAGATAGATACCCTTAGGTAGGCTTGGGTCTTTTGTTGTTGATGTTGTTGCTGTCGTTGGTGTCGTCCGTCCGTCCGTTCGTCCGTCTGTCCCTCTTGCTGGATAGAAAGAAGGACTGACTGGCTGGCTGGCTGGCTTGTTTGATTACTTACTTACTTAGTACATAGTGAGGGATTTATATTGAATCTCTTGATACTACCACTTCTATTCATGTTCCGTTTAAAGTTGAACCAGTAGATTCTTGATGTCAGAGGTACTAGTAAGGAAGTAGATAAGAGCTCAAGTGTAAGTAAATAGTAGTAGCAGTACGCGAACGAGAAATCAAAGGGGAAAAGAACGCCACCATACCATACCAATTGAACCGAACCGAACAAACCCGAACGAGCAATCAATATCCAGATAATAAGCAGGCATCCGTCAATCATTTCATTACATGATACAAAATGAGGAGTTATAAAAATGAACGAAACATAAAAAGCGGGGCATAATTCGTGATTTGGACAATAGGCGTCCAAGCTAGTCCAGACTGGAGAGCACGGTAGTATACTGACTCTATGACGACTCTCCCTTTGCAGGCTCTTCCTGCTGCTGCTGCTGTTTCGGAGGCGATTTACGAGCCCATGGGATGTCCTTGTGAAACAGTTCCCTCAGCTCCGGGGAGACGACTTTCGTTTCTCCTTCACTGTCAGGGGCTGAGCTGGGGCCGGCACTGACACCGCTGCTGAAGGCGGTGCTTTGGGGTCGTTGGGGTGATTTGCCTTTGTTGTTTGTGCTGGTGGTGGAGTCTTGTGTGGGCTTGCGTTGGTGGGCGGCAGGTGCAGGGAAGTTGTTTTTCTTGTCGATGGCTTGGACGGCTCGTTCGAAGCGGTGGAACAGGGATTCAGCGCGTGTGAGAATGGGGATGAGTTCCATTGTGTTGGAGAGTTCGTTGACTGCGTGGTGTCCGTGTTAGAGACTTTTCTTATAAGGACTGGGAAGTGGTTGGGTGGACTTACTGTACTTTAGGACTTCGTCGAACTGCTTTAGGTGGTCCATTATGACGTCCCGGTGTTTTTCGAGGATTGCAAGTGCGATGAACAAGTGGAAGCTGCTGGACAGGTAATCGGTCCATAGTGTTTCCCAGAGACGTAAGACGTCTGGCCATTCGAATTCGCGCTTGTACCAGACCAGGAGCATCCGGAAGAAGAAGAAAAAGTTCGTGCTGTCGGCGGATTGGAGGTGGAGGTAGAGTTGAGGATCCATGAGTTGAACGAGGTGGTCTAGAGTGAGAAGTTGTACACGCATGCCAGATTGGTCGCGGAGGAAGTTCCGCTCCTGTTTGTACGCATCAGCATGATAAAAAGTAGGATTGACTGCCATGGAGCTTACCATTCTGTCCATGAAACCAACAAATGCCCAGAATGCCACTGCATCATCCTGCATGACAGCATAAATCGGGGCTAGAAGATCACTCATGCCTTGCACATAGCCCAGGTCCGGGTTGTATTCGTTGTATGTGAGCAACATATCCTTCATCTGCTCGAGATGCACATTTGTGCCAGTATCCGCAAAAGGCGAATCTGGGTCCGGGTGGGGAATGTCTTCTCCAGCAAATAGGGGTATCGTACGGTCTGTGCGATGAACATCCTTTTCTGCGCGCCTATGTAAGTAAATGCGCGTGATACTTGGGCTGCAGAAGAACTCACCTATTCTATTTCTCTGCTCTTTCCACCAATCAAACTCTTCCGCCGAAGAAGTGCCTTCAATCATCCGTTCCCACCAGGCGCCTTTAAGCCGGATGTACTCATCCCGCTTCGAGTTCATCAACGCTTGTCGCTCCTCGTGGCTGCTATCCCACGGATATACGCCTAGAAGGTAGAGCCATGCTTCTTTCCTAACACCATCATTTGGATCTAATCCACCATGGAATATCCTTTCCTTAACTTCGTCAACGGTTACATGCAGTCTTCCAGTAGTCGGGTCAAAGAAGCCCTCCCATTCTTTCAAAGTGAGTGTCTTCCGACGGTCCTGGATAGACATGGTACCTGTCTCGAGGTCAAGGATCTCGAAATCTCCAACAGAACTGTTCTCCATGCTAAGGACATCTTGGGCAGTGTATATCCGTTGGTTTCTTTCGCGTTCACTTTGCTCTGATATGCTCATGGCCCACCGTGCTAAGTATAGCCTGGCACTATCGAACTCATCCTGTAAAGTCTGAATTTCAGGTGTCCTCATCAGACGGCGGACTTGTGGGGGTATCCGAGGATTGTCAGCCAACTCGTTGGCCGTACGCCTTGTGAAGGTGGTGATCTTGCTCAGCTGCTCAAGGACCTTCCACCTCGTCTCTTTGAGTGCTTTCACAAAGGGGTCCATCCCCGCATCGCGTTGGCCGCTTCCGCTGGCCTGAGCAACGGCAGCCGGTTCATCTTGAGCCTTGACAGTTGAGCCATCTGCAGTTAGAGGTCGTCCAAATGATACGCGGTCTTCATCCGATGGGTTGATCAGATATACGCTATTGTCCACGGCCGAGCGTTGGACCTCAGCGTATTTCCGAAGCCATCGCAGAACCTCATCCCCGCCCCAGAAGACATTTCCGTCCTCACCAAAGGGATCGAAGCTTTCCCTGGTTCGCTTTTTCTTCTGCAGGATTGTTGACTCGCACTCCGTGTCATGGAAGAACAGCGCGGGGAAGCTGTCGCCTGCGCGGGTGTTGATCACGAGACTCCCAAACCACCAGCCTAGACTTGGAGGTCGTACAAGGAGTGAATATATTTCAGACAGAGGAACCGCAAATGCGTAGAGGCCGATCGGGTCCTTATAGGTCGTTGTCGTCGGAAGAGCGGGCACCAGGTATTTCTGTCGCGGAGGGGAAGAACCGTCGGATAGATCGACTTTGACATAGGTACTGTATGCATCACCCAGGGAAGATTCGGGGACCCATGCTAGCAGGTAGGAAGAGAGGTCTGACGAGGAGTTTCCGGAAGTGGTCTCTCTAAGAGGGGGGAGGGGCTTTTGTTGGACGAGGGCAATAAATCCGGGGATGTTATCTTTCGAGGAAGGAGTTGGATGGACGTAGACCTGCAATGCTCGGAACCGAATGGATCAGCGAGATGTTCATTTTGCTAGCTTGCAGATAAGCCTACCTTGCTCTTGGAAAATAAAAGCTTGACTCCTCTGCGTGAGGTGGAATGAGAAATGGTGTTGTATTCATCCTCCTCATCGTCACTGACGTCGTAGTACGACGCCGTGGGTGAGGGCGGCGAAGGAGGAGGGGTGTATTGGATTCCGTTGCCTGCCATATCGAAGGGAGGAAGCGGAGAGGTGACTTTTTTCAAGGGATTAAAGTGATTAGGTCTTGCTCATAATGCGGACTGAAAGTGAAACTGGAATTCCTTGAAGCTTGGTCTGGAATGCCCGGAAAGTCAGCGCCGGTCGGCAAAGTGATGATTGCGGAGAAGAAAGCAAGTCACGACCGCCGGTCACGACGTAATCGTGGGGTCCACCGCTTCCATGTGATCGCCTTCATCATCCCAGAGACGGAATTCATTCAACTTACCTTGCAAATGAATTTTTTATATTGCACAGGATACCAAACAGTCTGCTTGGAATACGGTGCTTGCTTGAATTTGTAAATCAACAGTACCTTGCTACTAAGCACCTCCATTGTTGCCACCGATAAAATCGATGACTGAATCGCCCAGGCAGCAGCGAAACTATCATCATATCTGATAATCCGCTATCAAATCAATCAATAGCAAAGGAATCCTGCTGCCCACGCAGTATTCGTTCAGTTGCCCCTACTATTTTGTACTGCAGAAGCTTGAGTCGAGGACTTAAATCCGGTGATCACCCGCAATTGCACCAACATATGAAAAGCGTTGTCTTATACTGAGCCACGGGCGTGGCAATAGAGGGTAGCATACCTGCCTTCGTTTAGTAGCAGTCTTGGAGAAAATAGACGTACCGCCTATAAGTAGTGAGTTGTCTGCTCGGAGAAATAACTTATATCAGAAAATCAGCACTCCATGCGGCAAGAGTTCTAAAGAGTCCTAGATTAGGCATTTATCAATACGTCTGGTACCATTAAAGTTGATAGCCCCGATTAGTCCTGAAACTTTGCAGTCAAAAGTACCCTCTTTAGCTTGATTATACCAAACCCCCAGAACTGTTATCGGCTTCACTCCCTTACCTCCAGTCATCTCAAGCAGAGAATGACCAGACTAATGCGGACAATCCTACCTACGTGTCTGGCTGACAGGACTGCAACCTTACGTCTGGACCGGTTTCATCTGACCTGTCGGCCTTCAGTCATTCGTCAGTACAAAGGACCACGCTTATACTATCATCGCTACTAATGCACGGGATTTTATACCCTCTTCAGGAAATGATTCGCTATCCAATAGATAATGGTTTCATGTATTTGAGGATGACAGAGTTTCATTGCCTTTGGACACCGGCATCCATAAATACTAGACGGCTGCTTCATGCAGTCTGTAGTCAAGCTGCGTCGACTGCAAATTCAAACTCGCAGCAATGTCCGAACTTATGCGCACTTTGCCGGCCTCCTGGTATTGCAGCCCGCCTCTCTATCAGCTTGAAAGAAGGGCAGTGTTCTTGAAAGTATGGTTAAAGCCTATCCTTGAGGAGAATCCGAGTTCTAATAAGCATCTCAGTCGTGGTATCTTGTCGGCCCAGTCACTAGATTCTGTGACATAGGTGCCAAAGTCGAGTATGAAATAGCTCAGCAGCCTATATATGTTGTTCGCTGCTCCGGGGAGGGTCCGTTTCCCGGACAGGACGAGATCCAAGTAAATTGCGTGAAAACTGTAGGTCAGCTCAGCATCATCTCAGACATCAGACTGAGGATGCGTTCCATCCCCCGAGCAATATGTCTATCGAGCTCCTTGTTGCTAACCAGAATTTAGGAACGACCTCTAAAGCACCACGTCACGCCAACCGGCCTCGTTTTCGCTACTCTATCAGACGAGGCGCCCAGCTTCCATGAGTATTTCCCGGACTTGGAGCCACTGCTCCAACGGGTGAACTTTACCAAGCTCCCGTACAGACACAGCATCAAATACGAGGGACGATTTAACTGGAAGACTATGTATTTGATACCTTTGCCTCGTATTCGGAAAGTGATCATGTCTCCCTGACCTGGCTTCCATGACAGGGTCGACGGCTACCAGGAATGCCTGCATTGCCAATATACTCACCCGTCATTCTCCGTATACTACCCGCCCACCTCGTACGCGGTGCACAATCATCAGAACTTTTCGCAGCATATCGCAGACCCGGAAAAGCCCGATGATGGTCTATTCCTTTACTTCTTCCCCAATTGCACTCTGAACGTCTATGGTGGAGGAATGTCCTCGTTCCGAGTATGCCCAACCGATGACCCGAATGTGACGAGGATGGAGTTTGACTACTACCATATGGAGTCGGGCGAGAAGTTCGACGAGTACTTCAAGTTTGTTCGGCAAGTGGCCATGGAAGACTATGAACTGTGTGAGAAGGCTCAGAACAATCTCACTAAAGGCATCTATAGCGAAGGCATCCTCAACCCGGAGAAAGAGAGCGGAGTTTCATGTGAGTTACATGAGACCACCTATATGACGATATTACAGTAAGCTAATCAGACAGCAGATTATCAAGACCGGGTATTCGAGCTCGTGTGTCAGCAGCACGCAGCAGAGAGACGAGAAAAGGAAATGGAAGGTGCGAGAGATGATACTCAGAAGAGGGGTCTGCAACGTATCAGAACAGCTGCATAAGACAAAACTGTGTAAGCCGTGGTTTCGGGACTCGGTAACATGATCAATCTTATCAGTGGCGTTGATTTCAGTGTTCTGCACGGGCTGGCTCCTGTAACAGTCCCTGTAAATGATTCCTATCTATTGAGGTGTGGCATCAGATAAACCCTTGGCCAGGATCGGCCCAGCACATACTTCAAGCGTCATTCATGCGCAAGTTACTGGAAAAGAGCACCATATCTGGAAGGTCAATACTATCCTGGAGTAGACATAGTTACTTAAGTGCATGATCACCTGAAGACTTCCTCTTCTCTCACTGGACGGGGAAGCGGGAGTCATGCAAACCTGTGGAGGTGACAGGGTCAGTGCTCTGTTCCTGATACTGCTTGATTTGAAACCTCGGGATGCCTTTTCGTGCGATAGTAAGCGCATAAAACCAATGGATTCCCTGTAGAAAGGCATGGCGGACAACACAGTTTCATCATGGCTATAGAAGAACCGTATCCGGCTCTACCTCCCGCCTTATCGGCCCTGGTCTTGGTTTTATTGCTAGCGGGGCTGGCTTTTCTCCTTCAATCCTTATCAAAGCCGCTCTTCCGGGGCTATAAGTCCCTGCGTGTAGCTAAGCCGACGGAAACCGAACTGGATCCTGTCCCCGAAGGTAACGAAAACATTGTCTGCAAGGAATCAGATTTCCCACACGACTGGTGGACCGGCTCAGAAGTCTTTGAACTCGAAAGGCGGGCAATAGTTAGTAAAGTACTATGCGCCATATAACTTCACTTATGAAAACATGAAATCAAACATGATACTCACATAGAATCGATCAGAGATGGCTCTACCTAGTCCACCGTAACCGGTTCACCAAACCCGGCGATTACCATTCCTTCGAAGTGGCCGGTATCCCAATTTTTCTCGTGCTGGGGAAAGATGGCGTCGTGCGAGCGTTCCATAACGTCTGCCGTCATAGAGCATACACAGTGACAAGGAAGGAGTGTGGTTCCTCTATGATTCTCGGATGTCGATATCATGGCTGGAGCTATAACACCAAGGGACAACTCATCAAGGCACCTCACTTTGACAATGTTCCCGGATTTGACAAGGCTCAGAATAGTTTGTTTTCGATTCATATCACAACCACACCTGCGGGCTTTATATTCGTGAATTTGGATGCATCTCCGACGATAATGCCATTGCAGACAAGATCTCTTGATTTCTTTGCGGGAAGGCATGGCATCGGACGACAGTCTACGTGGCTGGGAGGGCAGACAGTGGAAGGGCAGTTTAATTGGAAGATTGGTTGTAAGTTCTTTTCCCGATTCCTTTCTAAAATATAAACTATGTACCTAAACTTTTGAGATAAGTGACGCTACAGAGATTCATCAACCACACGGAACTGGAGACTGAGTTCTCACAGCCAAGGTATAAGGCACTGTTATTGAGCTTGTTCAATTCATCACCAATGCGCTCGGAAGATGTTAGAGTCTTCCCTTTTACTACGATTCATACCGTCCGCGGAGGGGTACTATGGTACTCCCTGAGCTTCATTCCCATATCCAAGAGTAGCACCTCGGTCCGGATTGACTTATACACCCACAAAGCCATGGGCAGCCCTACTCCTTCACCAACAGCAGAAAGACTCTTCAACAAATTGTCGAACAGTATCCGAGAATTGGAAACTCAGTTCGAGTCACTTTCTGAAACAGTAGCGTACGTTCTCAAATGCCTGGCTATATGGAAAAAACTAAACAATCACATCTCTAGTCTCCCCACCAATATCACATCAGCACCAGACCCAGCTTGCACAGGTAATTCCAACCCAACCCAATCCCTCATTCAAACATCAGTCTTACCAACAACGTCCAGATACACAACTCAAAATCCTCGAAGCCATCAAATCCCACGCCAAAGTAGAAAAACAACTAGGAACCGAGATCTTCCCCGCTACGAGGAGACCTAGAACCAATGCACGATTCGAGCAGGCTGAACAAAGTCAGTTGAGTCTCTTCTATACCACATCTTTCACTGTGTTGCTAAAATAAAACTACAGTCTGCAAAGACCTAGATTGCCAAGACACGTGGAACAGTGAGAGTCTCGCTTGGTGAGAATGCATAGCACAGGTACTATGAACAGGATGAGGTAATATTGTTGCTTACTTAGTTGACTCTGTTGGCTGTATGACTCAGTCGAATCAAGTTGACTAACTTACTATTGGTTTCAGTGATATTTAATGCCAAACAATGTTATGGATTGATTCAAGGGATAACATCTAATTAGTCTAACACAGCGGTTTCAGACTGGGCGGGGAGGGGGAACAAACTTCATTTCATCGTGACTGGCAGAACGAATACAACAAATAGTAGTTGAACAATCTTACAAATGATGAATGCAAGGGAGAAATTGGACATTTAGTAGTATAAGTGATGCGAGTAAAACATAAGGCTGGATGGAACTGCTTACTATTTATGACAGAGGAGTAAGTTGAGAAGCTACGCATGTACATTCCTGGCTGGCTGGCTCGTACCGAAAGTCAATGTGGATCCCCAAGGGTCCAGTGGCAGCGGCAGCGTGTAAACCTTCCCTTTTCTCCCTTGAAACCCACCCCACACTTCCCATCTCTCACCGATACTCAGTAGTGTTGATCAGGGCCGCCATCTACAACTTAACTCCACGGACCCTTTGAAATTTATTTAATTTCAGCGCAGAAAAGACGCAACTCACAACTATCATCTCTTCAAAATCTACTTGCTCATTCCAAACTTCCCTTAACGCAGGAACACATTTCTTAGCCCCCAGGTCTCATTAATTAAAACCACGCGGTTCTGGGCCGACCGATCGATCGATCTAAAAATCCTGACACGATTTCGGTACGAGGTAAGTGCTGAAGATCGCCAACAATAGCATCTCCGATCAGACTACCCATTATTCCTCTCGGGCCAGTACGGAGAAAGACTTTGTTATTTCCGGCCACGTGGTTGCGAGCTGACGCCGGAGCAGACTATACGAACTTGTGTGGCACACGCGTCGGCTTATCTTACTAGTGTCTAGTACCTTACCATGGCTTTTCCTCCGATAGCGAGGGCGACCTTGCAAGCTGCGCTGATTAATGCGGGTTCCAATGTTCTCGCTCAGGCTATTGGGGCTTATAGAGATGAGGTATGTTGGTTTGTTTGTTTCCTCGGTAGATGTGAGATGCCTAGCAGGGATGTTGGGCCGGAGATGAGTGATTCGTTCGCTATTGTGTGGAGTATTAGCTACTGCTGTTGGATTACAGCTTCACTAACCATTGACGTGGTTCATTGGCAATTCGTGAGGGTGGTGCACCCCATGATTGCCGATACTATGACGCCTATAGAGACCCTTTGAATTAGACACTCAAGTCTTGTTTCAGTTCACTACTTGTGCCTTTGTTATTTCACCCTTGACCTTCTTGTGGCTTGAGTGTCTCGAGGCGAAATTCCCAGGCTATGATGAGAGCTCTGCTCCCAAGCCGAAGACGGAGAAGAAGGAGGCACACAAGCCTAAACTGAATGTGACGAATACTGTGGCAAAGATTGTCATCGATCAGATTATTGGTGGTGCCTGGAACACGGTAGCCTTTATCATGACAATGGGACTTTTGCGCGGTCAGAGCTGGGATGCCATTACGCTGCAAATTCAGAAGGTTCGTTTCTAGGCTTATGGTGCTATAATCCGTTGGATGCTGACCTAACATGGCAGGATTTCTGGCCCATCCTGATCGCGGGATTCAAGCTGTGGCCTATTGTCTCTATCTTGAACTTCACAGTTGTACCAACAGACAAACGGCTGCTTGTTGGCAGTCTGTTTGGTGTTATCTGGGCCATTTATTTGAGTTTGATGTCTGGTTGATGTTGTAATAGGTCGTCTGAGGATTTCCCTGGATTGCCAGGCTAGCTAGTCTATGTTGGAAGATAGATTGGGCGCTGGGGACTTGGGACCTGCGGGTGGTGTTCACGTTCGTTTAGCAATTAGCTTGACATCAAATCTCAGAATTCGCAACGTGTGCTTCTTAGAGCACTAGTATATAAAAGTTGAGACATTCATTACTTGATCCTTCCGCGTTGGGTAAGCTCGTCAGGGGGGCGACAGAGAACTGACAAGTGTACGCAAAAGGAAGGAGCCTGATCAAATCAAAGATAAAAAGGGGCCAGAGGTGAAATGACGGCAGTGCGCTAGATAAGTAGTTACTGGACCATGCTCCGCATGATCACCCGACAACGTTCAGATTAATGAATGGTTTGTTGAGCGACCCGTTTGTTCCATTTGGCCCCCATTTTCCGTCCTCCGAGTATCCGAGAGCTGCAATAGGGAAGCCTAGCTGAGCTGCAGGCCCACCTTGATTTAGGGGCTAGAACACATGGCACGACACAATCTCTGTAGCCCGTTCTCCCGAATTTCTGCTGTTAATTGGGCGACGAGCGTTATCGTTTGCAGGTAGATAGAGGAAAGTACGGTCCAGTGCGGGTGTACCTGAACCATAACCTGATACGGCATGGTAATGCAACTCGAACCCACCTTGAGAGTACTAGGATGATCTAGGCAATCATCACGTAGTCAACTTTGTGTTAATTTGGGACCTGTCGAGAAATCACACTGTTACGAAGCCTTGAACAGGAGTCAGTCAGATTATAGTCAGGTGACTTGTATGGGGCTCTTGTCGATGGGCCATTAATGATGTGCCTCGTGAGACACGCCGAAACGCAGAATAGATTCATCCCAGACGAGATTCAAATGGCTGCAAACTCCCATGAAACCAACGCCAATATGAACCACGATGCTCTCCAGATCCACGGATCTATTCGTCGAGCAATTAAATAGTAATGAAAATAGTAATCCATGCGCGGAAGCAGCTGAGGCGTTAAAGTCCGTCTTAGCTAAGTGATGGTGATCGGCTGTCTCAAACACATTTGCATTGATCCCGGGACTCGAGGAACCGAATAACAAGCGACCGTTCGTAAGGATGGATCAATCCCTCGAGTCTTACTAAGAAAACATGCTTCGTTTGGGCTCAACGACTCCGTAGATTAACGGAGTTTAAAGACGGATTTACGTACCCGCAGATCCGTTTCATTGCATGCAGGCATGAGTGTGCTCCGACGTCCGAAGGCCGGCGACACAATTGAATCCATGATGCTGGGCACCCACCTACCTGGGTTTGCATGAGGCAGACAGGGATGGAGAGAGACGGCGTACGCAATCTGCTGGGAATCGTCATCCCAGTCCGGGTTTAGTGTGCTCCCTAGTATCTCATTCGTGAGACACTGCCTGGTTCCCAAGCCACAGCGAATGGCGTTGCATTTTAGCGTCTGCACTGGATCCAAGTAGGTTAAGGTGGGTTAAAAGGGAGAAATTAATAGATCAAGGCTGTGGCTGTAGCAGAATTCGGTAACGGTCATACGAGCTGAAGAGACAATGGGGACTGCGGGAGGATTGGCGATCAGAAGGCTGGTGGATGGCGCAGCCACGATCTGGGTCTTTTGCAGATTCCACAGCTTCAGGATAGAGTAGTCCCTCGAGTGTAAGGCATATTGCTGGTAACCTATCTGCAATAGGAGTATCCTCGTAAGGCGAAACCAGAGGATGTGATTATTGTCATCAAGATGGAGAAAGAGTGTGACCAGGGGAGGATGTTTGGCCCCTCGGATCCGGAAAGACGGGCGGAGACTCTGACTGACAAGAAACAACTCGCTTTCCTCCCCGGGAAAAACATAGTGGCACGGACGACTACAGTAGTCTCCCTCACTAAACTGTGTATCTACTCCCTACTAGGAGTAGTTTTGGCCCCCGCGGTTTAGAGTCGATCCATTCTTCGTGCCACCGTCTCCCTAGCCTATCGCTGTGCCCATCCACCTCTGCTTACTCCATTAATTATTAGCTGGCGTCATGTCCCCAACTGCCCGGACGCGCATTCCCTCCGATTTAGGGATAAGAAAAGCACCTCCCCCCGGCACGTGGAGACTGCGATGACCAGGATTTCGAGTCAGATCTCATTCCAGTCTTGCTTAGGTAGGACTTCAATGGCATTTCTATCTGCTACAACCTCTCATATACTCGTAGCTGTGCATCTCAAGACTCTTTGTCGGTCGCGCGTCATCTGCACCATCGAAACTCTTTTTCTTTGTCCGCCCGCTCGGCGTTGACTGTCAGTTATACTGAACCCAACACGGTGCTTTCCGTGATCCCTTTGAGCTGATCCGTCGCGAACAGTCGGGTGCCACCTTTCGCTATCCTTGTCATCCTTTCTGAAAGGGTTCACGCAAACTTGAGTCCAACCTTTATTGAATTATCGGAACGGCTTTCTCGCATTCATCTCCGGCCCTCCACTTCGGACTCCGCTCGTTCGGGTTTTGGGAGTATCTACTTAGTTCGGCCAGTCGTACTTCTAAATATACGGAACAAACCCCGAAATAACATTGTCGGACCCAACAAAGGATAACAACAAGGGCGTCTTTAAGACCATGTTGTACATGTCCCTAAACGGACGGGTGCACTGTGCCATATGACAACGGACTTTGTGTATAGGTAGCAGCCAATTGTTACCATCGAACCATCCAGGTGCCCCAGGGGAAAAACTGTTGGCTCGGTGCGGAAGCCAGTCCTACGTTAAACAGGCTTTCAAGAGTTGGTATAGGGCTAGTTAAAGGCCCCCTCAGTCCCAAAGATGGAGGTGCTGGACTTGCCTAAGCGCAATTCACCCGTTCCACAACCCACCGCTGTCGCTATGGGACCAACTTCTCCCCCTCCTGAAGAGAAGGCGTCAGATACCCCATACATGGTGGACGATGACTTTGCTGGAGATGACGAAGACGACGATGATGATTCTATTTCGCCTATTTCTGAGAGAGCACCTCCATGGTCTGGAACTCGCTGGGCTCGCTTTTTCCCCGAACTCTCCTCTCACTTCTCCTTGGCGTCCCCTACTAACAGTACAAATCCGCCCTTTCCGCAACCTCACACGAAGGGCCCGCCTCATATTGACGGCCCCTCACAGCAACCGGAAAGAAGGAGCAAAGGACCTTCTTCTCTGTCGTCTGAAGATGTGGCGGATAACAGGTCATCAAGTTACACTAGCCGGTCTTCCTTGACGAGTCAGGGATCCGAAGCTACATCACCAGTTCATAAGTTGGTGGATAGTCTTCACATAACGTCACCCACAAAGGCTGGCGTCTTTGACGAGTCAAAATATGCGCATCAAATTCCTCCTCCGTTCCCGAGCCGCTCTTCAATTGCTCAGTCCAAAGACAAGCCTCTGCCTCAGGAGCCCCCTATTGAATTGACTCCACTCTCAATCCGCCATAAAACCCCTCAAATGCACGATAGAAGACCCGGATATGTTGGTCGCTTGGACCCTCCGCCACGTTCAAAGAAGCATGCAAGCCATCATCATCCGACGTTGTCGCAGGCGTGCAACGACCTGGAGAGGACTCTAGCCGGACTCGGTGAGCAGCAGCAGCCTCCCGCGCAACTCTCTCCTCGCAGTCCTCTTCAGATTCTAGACGGGCCTCTGCAGATTAGTAGAGGCAATATGGACATGGTTGCGACCCGACCAGCCCCTCGACCCCCTGCTAGCGTGCATAACAATCGTCAGATCCACAAAGTCAAATCCCGCGAAGATGTGAAACAAACAAAGAAATCGCTGAAGAACAAACCGTCCTTTTCCTTCTCAGTACCAGCTTTCGGTCGGAAACTGAGTCGTGTCCATCAGCGATCCACCAGTAACACCAGCTCCAAGTCAGAACCGGAATCCTACAGGGCCAGCACCTTACATCAGCCAGCTGTCGCAGAACTTGGAGACGGCGAGATCGCTGAGTTACAGGGATCTTCAGTCATTGGTTTCCGTGAGAGACCTCTTTCCGCTGGCGGGGAGAAGGAACTTCGGATGAGGCTTCCCCGCCTTCAGACAAAGGAAATGGGGGAGTTCGGTCGGAAAAGAGACAACATCCACAGCACTCATGAGGGCCCTGAACAGCTGAGAAGGCCGCATGAGAGAGCGAGGGGCGCTTCTGTCGGCGATAAGTACTTCGTATCGTACAGTAAACTCGATGGTATACCAGCCACTCGTCAACATCAACAAATTTCGCAAACTTCAGCGATGGTCTATGAGCTGGAGGGCGGTTCCCCACAACCGCCAGCCGAGCTGCAAGGCGATACCACCACTGCGATCGATGTACCTGTCAGGGTATCTGTCAGTGTGTCTGTTGGAGCAATGCCTGCTACTCTGCCTGACCGCGTTATTTTAACAGTCTTGGAGCATATCACCTCCCTTGATGAACTTTTCAATGTTGCGGTAGTTCGCAGTGACTTTTATCGGGTATTTAAGAGGCACGAGCTGAAGCTTATGAGGATAGCTGTATTCGCCATGTCTGCGCCAGCGTGGGAGTTGCGCGAAATGAGTCCGCCATGGGATACCGAATGGCAATTTGTGCTGGATCCTGACGCCCCTGTGCCTGAATACACGCCCTGCCGCTATCTCAAGCGCTATGCCGAGGATATATACACACTGGCTCATCTCAAATCGCTTATACTAGCTCGTTGTGGGACTTTTCTGCGCCCCGAAACGATCCGTGGGCTATCCGGCACCGATGATGTTCGTGCCGCCGAGGTCGATGATGCCTTTTGGCGGGTTTGGACTTTCTGTCGCCTTTTCGGTTCCGGGAAAGGTAGAGAGGGAGACATCGCGGGGCAGTTGGATTGGTTGAGGGGTGGCAAGGTAGCCAGGAACCGACGTGTCTCGGACTTCACGTCTATAGCCGATCCATATGACGCGAATAGCGTTTTGTTCGAACCTCCTGCGGGATTCGGGGGCGGCAATACAGGAGGCTTATCAAAGGAGCAGCTTCTTGATATGACGGAGATATGGACCTGCTTAGGTGTGCTTCTTCAGCCAATGCACGGTAAGTGTATTGAAGCACGAGCAACTGGAGTGTTCGACGGGCATAATGTAGAGGCAAATGATTCTGCCGAGGAAGAAGCAGTTCTAGGTAAGCGAATCTCACCTTGGTGAGGTTGTCGTTGGTCTCACTGTTACCAAATCGCTAACCCGTGCGAGCAGAGGAGTGGACCTACTACATTCTCACACTTGGACTTTCAGCAGTCTTGGTGCTCGGCTCAATTCATCCCTATGACAACACTACTGCTGTTTTCCAGAGAGCCCATTCGATGGGCTTGACAAACTGGGAAGCATCTGACACTGGTGCGAGCCGTTCGTCGTTCCTGAGAGAGGCTGTGTCGAAAGCTTGCCAGCCACGGGGAAGTAGTACTTCTCAGGTGTCAATGCGCTCTCCTGGCTTTGGCTCTCAACCTTCGGGATTGCATGATGTATCACAAACGTCTAACGTTCCCGGCGAGAGAGAGACTTCGCCTGACTTCCATCGCCGACGGCAAGCTGCCTATTCTGCCCAATTAAGGAATCAGAGGCAGCAGCAGCCCAGTCCACCCAATCCTATGCTTGCTGAAGAACGGCCCATTTCTCATTATGCGACCATCATGAGCCGCCTAGAAGGCCTTCCGCCCGCGCCTCAGCCGCCAATGTCTGTGTCAAGGATAGAGATACCGCCTACTACCCACTCTTACGTGACAAACGTGTCCTATATGCAACCCCTCCACCCAGTCACACCAGGGTACTACCCACCACAGGTCCGCGACCCTGTTGACCACGCCATTGACATAATGGTTCGAGAGCTTGGCTTTGCGGAAGAGGATGCCAAGTGGGCCCTCAAGATAACAGACAGTGGCGAAGGTATAAACATGAATGCGGCGATATCTTTACTCACCAGGGAACGCAGGACCCATGAGCAGAGCAGCAGGGGATTTTCCCTGAGGAAACGCAAAAGCTTTCTCTCCTCGGTCATCAACAGTCCGGAGTCGAGACATTCAGGCTGGAAATGGGCTTGAGCAGCAATACATCCTCAAGAACCGTTGTCGCATTACCTTCACATCAATGGCAGCTAGGCCTGCAGTCGTTGTATATTCTGATTCATAATTGCATTGCATTACGGCCTGCCTTCTTCCAAGGGTTTCCTTTGACTCTAAGGCGTTGTTGTTTGGGTTGATACCACTGTGTACCACAATTTCTTTGTTACTTCCATCTCTACTACAAGCGTGTATAGCCATATTTTACCATTCAAATCTTGACCATCCAAGTTTCTGAAGAACCATGATTAGACATTGTTCTAGACTCCTCTTTTAGCGGAGCTGGAGCTTACAAGGACGCCCGCTGATCTACTGGATAACCCCCTCTCCTTCTTAGGGATGTACCTTCCAGATTCCAGCATCTTTCTGTAGCAATTCCGGAGCCCCCTTCTTGAGGCTGTTCACCCGGGCTTATAGTGCTGAAATGGCGCAGCTTTAGAAATCAAGGCGGCCTTCGTCAGCCGATTTGCAAGGAGCTCAGCGATGGACGGAAAGCTAGCAGGAGCCCTGGATGATGGCAAAATGATCATCTATTCTGTGTCGAGAGCATTTGAGATTGTTCATCAGCCGGTACGTCACGCCAGTCCACGTACTGTAAGAGGGCCGACGGACCGTGTTGAGGGTAAGGCTATCCTATCCTTACAGGCCAGCGGAAATCCCGAACCTTCCCGTCTCAACCCAAGCCAGCTCAACTTTCGAAAGCCATCTGCTTCGGCGGGCGTTCTTTCCCTGGCGCCCTGGAGAGAGTGGCCAGAGCATCGAACAAAAGGGTGAAAGTTTAATGGTTAATTATAACTATTTCCGATGTGACAAATCGGGCCTGAAACAAACTTCCAGACTATTGTCTCGGGAAACTGCCTTCGACGCTCATCCCACCCGGTTCCTTGGTGCTTCTTCGGGTGTTCTATTCTAGTTTCCTAACTTGCAGGAAGCTTCATTACTTTATGCAAGCTGTCATGGACACGGTGAGGTCGAATGGATCCCGCTTGCACGCACGTCCGGACGTGCTTCAGCTGACAGCCAGAGACCCAGCATGTTCTTTTATTCATTGGGGTCCCCAACCTTGACATGTCCTTCGAAGCAGTTTGACTGGCATGGATATTGCTGGAACTATCTCGTGGTCTAGCCAATTATTGGAAACGTCCCTGACGCGGTTGTGATGTATCAACTCGGGAGGAGAGAAGGGCCCCCGACGATCGCAAACGAGCCTTCCCTTTGCTTTTTTCGAGTCTTCGCCGAGAAGCACGACTCAGCCTGGGAGATCTGACGAATAATGTGCCAATGGCATTGCTTAAACTGGGAGAAATCATGAGCAAAGCAAATAAAGGGAAAGAAAGGATCGATATGATATGATATATCTATGGCTCGACTTTGGGACAGAGATAATGCGGTGAGAGCGGAGAGGCGCGGACAGGTTTGACCCTCGAACTTGTTCGACGCAAGGGGGGTCGGTTTGTTTATTGCAGGCAGGAAAACGAGGGGAACACAGGCATTGCACTCACTGGCTGCATCAAGGCGGTCCGTCAGTTTGTGGAATCAAGATAATGTTATCGATGCTGGTGATGCAAGAAAATGAGCGGCAAAGCC